AGACCCCTGTATGTAATTTGTAACTTTCGGACATGTCACGCGTTGTGAATTATAAATTATACATCTCACGAATCGAGTTTACACTTAATAAAATTGTATTAAAATCGTCTCGTTTCACGAGGGTTCGGAGTGGCCCCCTTGTTAGAGGTTCCAACGTAAAGCGTACGAAAATCCTGGGGTTTATTTTTCCTCGCACGGTACATATTACGTCTAACGCGTATATTTATAGCACCCGTGCTCGCTGTTCGGAACATGTTAAGTTTCCAACTGTTTAATTTTCAATCTCTCAAGAAAGCGAAGACGCATCGACACGCTGCGATGGAAGCAGCTCTTGCCGCTATCTCTCCCGCACTCGGAGAAACCCGCGATTTCAATTTAACCAATCTTTTAATTAGCCCGAACCATCGAAAACGGCAGAGCCGGTGATTTACGCTCGCTGCCGCGTAACGTGATTTATATCTTCACTTTTGCAGTCGCGTTCGCGTATTTGGCCGCTTCGCGATACCTAACTGCAGCGACCGAAACCCTAAGTTGCCGTGATTTGATCTAATTCGCTCGATTGCGGCGATAAAGCCTCTCGTAAATTCTTTATATCCGTGTCGTAGCTATATCGATCGCTATCGCGGTGGTACCGGAAATTCCGCCATCTTTCGACCCTTCGGGACCCACGCGCGAAATTAAGGGGCCGTCCGGAATTGGGGCAAATTAAAAATTCGAAAAAGGAAAGGAAAGAGAGGAGAGAGGAGAAATATGGAAAAAATATACGTGGGGAGTAAAAATAAAGGATCGTGTCACGTGTCGGAGTAGCGGAGGCAGCAGTTTTTACCCGACGCCGATCGCGGAGCGTCGCGTGGGAGCGGCGCGTTTTTCGCGCCGGTCGATGCCAGAAATAGCCTGGCGACTCCGGCTGATAGCTCGCCGGTAGGCAGAAAATAAGCCGACGGAAGCTCGAACACGCGAGCGCCGGTAAACATCCGGCGGAAGGAAAACGCGCGAGCCTCGACGAAATTGAACGAGGCGCGTGCGAGCGAGAGAGGAGCCGGTCTTCTCGCGATCCGTTGCGCCCGCTAACGAGTGAAACTAGGTGAAAGTAAGAAGCACGCCGGCTTCTCCTTATGCTCATACGCGGCGCGTCCCTCGAGTTGGTCGCGAGAGAAGGGCCGATTTACGCTCGAATCGCCGCCGCCGCCACGAGCGCACCGTTTCCTTCGATCCTCATCGACGATTCATTTTCTTACGACCTCCGATTAACATAAATTAGTCCGAGGCCTTTTTACGTCCGCGTACCACTTTCTCATATTCCAATCGCTGGAATCGCGCGAGAGAGTCCTCGACAGGCGCGTCCTTACGGCCTTTCCTCTCCTTCCTTCCATCGGTCTTCTATTCCGCTTCTTCGTCCGCGAGACGACCGTCGATTCGACTCCTCCTTCCTCGAAGCAGCCGCGCAATCGAATCGCGTGGGTTAAATTTAATCGAGCGAAGGATCGAGCGTATATCGAGCCTGGCGAAATTTTCCACTCGGAGTAGCGCGCTCGCGGCGCGCGGCCGCCATTTTGGTACCGCCGCGACCGCTTTTCCGTCCATCTTTCGGCCGCGTTCGCGGGCGGGGACATCGAGGACGCTTTCACAAAAATTCGCCATTTCCTGCACGCTGACCGCGATCCTCGAAGCGATCGGGAGGACAGGTCGTAGACGAGTCTACGATTAAGCCGCGACGAAGGTGTTCCTGTTTTTTTGCCACGACGCCGGCGCGTTTTAATCGAGGAGATCGGAATATTACCCGAGAGGCGGGCAGAGATGACCCGGCGAATTCGATTCGTTCGGATGTGCCACTTTCCGAGCGGCGAATTCCACGGAAACGACTGGTCCGAGGACGATTCCAGCCGATTAACGAGGCGTACACAGGCAGACGAGTCGTCCGATCAACCGGTTAAAAATAGACGCGGATCCGTGACATGTGTTTTTATAAATTGCTGCAGGCAGACGATCGTCTTGTAGCCGCTCGCTTCCTGATCGTTCGTTCCATAAATAATCTTCGATTTCGAGCTATTCGATCGGGTCCCGAGACGCAGGAAGCATCGTGGCGCCGTCGCGACGATGCTTCGTTCCCAAATTTTTCCCCTGTTTTTCTATCGAATAGTCGAAACTGTTACGTATAATCTCGAAACGACTTCGGCGCGGAAAAAAGTCGCGAAAGAAAACGATTCGGCAATTCCGTGACGCGAGGCGTCGCCACAGTCGCTGCGAAGGATCGACGACGCTCGTGTTCGGTGGAGTTGCGCAACGAATTCCTCGCGTATCGCGCGGTGGAACTTTGATCGCGGATCGAGGATCGTGGTAGAAGAGGCGAATCGAAAGGAGAAAAAAGCGGATGGAAGCGTACAGGTAGCACGCTCGTCCTCTGGCGTAGCAGCTGACGCGTAGGCCAGACTGGCGGAGTGGTCGAGTGTGCCGTTAAGCAGCCGGATCGGCGAGCGCGCGAAAACGGGTCATCGGGAGAAAACGGAAGGGCCACGAAGTTTCGACGAAGACGATTTCGCGAGTCGTGGGATTTTACGACACCCGGGACCATCGGCCATTCGTCATCGGCGAACGGAGCAGGTATTCTAACCGGGATCAGAGGTCTAATCCTACGACTGTCGGGGCCTAGAATAGCGCGGAGCGAAGGCGATTTAAGCGGATCGCGAGCTCGTGCGCGCTGGAAAACCGCGAACGAGACTATGATGGAGATGATTGGAGAAGTAGGAAGACACGGGTCGGCTGGATCGGGGCACCGAATCGAATGCACGCGCTTTGTGTCCACCCCGATCGAGTATAACCGGTTCGATTCGGTTCGCCTCGTGATCGATGCGTTTCTAGATCCTGTTCAGGCGACTGCGTTACGAGCCTCGGACCTAGGTTAATCTACGGTTTAAGATATCTCGAGCTCGAGATAACTCGGACCCAAGATAGCTCGATAGCCATAGTTCAAGGCTTAACCTAGGACTAACTCGGCTGGATCTTAAGCACGGTCCACTTACCAAGGTTCGCTCGGTACCACGAAGCGAAACGATGCGAGGATTCCTATTAGACCCAACAGCCGTTGCTTGTAATTCGAGCCTAATGCGACTAGCCTCTAAATCTAATTCGATCTAATTCCCCGGAGCTTCCTCCGACGAATTTAAAGCCCAAGACGAGTCGGATCGGACACGCAGAGCGTCAGCTCTGTCTCTCCGTTGCGGCAAAACGAGGAGCGCGGAACCGCGTGGCGGAGGGTCGAAGGGAAAGGTGGCATGCTAATTTTTCAGCCGGTCGATCGGGCCCCGAAGCGCGGCCATCGCGTGTTCCTAACGTCGCACGGACCAAAGCTTCGAAACGCACACAGCCGCGCGCGGAAGCAGCCCGTAATTATATTGTCACGCCGCGGGTGTTCAATTTGTCGGCGAACATCCGCCTCCCCCGCGTCTTCGTTAACCACCACAGCCGCTCGCCTCCGCCTCTTCCACCACTTCCACGCTACCTTCTCTCCTCGTCACCTCGCAACCCTGCGCCGATCTTCCTTCCATCTTCCTCCGTTCTCACGCCGCCGGACGACCAACCTCGGCTCCCCGCGAGAACTCCTCGCGACCTGACTAGCCGATCGGGAAAAAGCCCACTCGCACGCGGATAACGCGATTCCGAGATAATTCCAAGATAATTCCGAGATAATTCCAAGATAATTCCGAGATCACTGGTGCGCTATTCTCGGCTTCTCCTCCGTCCGCGTGCAACTATTCCGGTCTCGGGGGAATATTCCGTGAACGAATGAGCCAGGAATGCTTGCGAGCAGGTAAGAACGGGTCGCAAGGGTGGAAGAGGCGTTTAATCGAGACGGAACCTGCTGCGGTACATTTGTCGTTCTTGCAATGAATCCTCGAGACCTGGACGTGTCTTCGCACCTGGTCTCTTCGAGTTATCCATCGGGAAATCGCGTCTCAGGATTGGAGGCAGGTGATTTCCGCGTTAACCTGTTGTAAATTAGCTACGCCTATGCAACGACGGTGACAGGCCTGTTAGAGGTTGCAGCCTAATATCAAGGGGTCGGTTTTTGGGGTTTAAAGGCAGCCTGCTGTCTCTGGCTGCTCTCGCTCTCAAACCCAGAGCAGTGCAGATTGCTTACGTATTGTGACCCACAGTGGTGTGATAAAGACTCTTGTTTTTCTTCATATACTCGCATAAAGCGTATACGTTTCACTTACATTAAACTTTATACATCCAATTGCTGTACAACTGAATACGGTTACTTCTCTGTACGCTAATCGTTTGGATTTCCTTCCCGAAATTTCCAACATAATCCTTTGCGGACGAGCGCCGCATATATGCGTTCGACAACACATATGACCGACTTAAAACAACTCTCTAAAACAACTTAGAACCGAGGGATGCACTATACTCGCATAAAGCGTATACGTTTCACTTACATTAAACTTTATACATCCAATTGCTGTACAACCGAATACGGTTACTTCTCTGTACGCTAATCATTTGGATTTCCTTCCCGAAATTTCCAACATAATCCTTTGCGGACGAGCGCCGCATGTATGCGTTCGACGAAAACAACTTAGAACCGAGGGATGCATAAATGTGTCCCACGTAAACGCGTTGCTATGGACGAGAAACACAAATATGTGTCGGCTGTTGCGGTTCTAGGACCGCACGAGTCCAAGTTAAGTGGTGGACTGTTTTATATCCTTATAGCTAACGTCGCTATGAACGAAAATCGCGTTTAAGTAGAAATGAACGCTATTCGGTGTGAATGACTGTCGCGACAGTAGCTCGGCTAACTCGGTAGGGTTTACTCAAAACCGTTCCGTCCGCAAAGAGTTAAACTGCGCGTTCGAGGGTTTATGGGGTGGATGAAACAGTTATCTAAGTGGTGGTGTAGGCTAAACCTGGATGGAAGAACGTAGGTCCGTCGAAAATCCAGTTTCGAGAGACGGATTGCGAGTAAGCGAGGTCTAAATAGCGTTAAGGGTACTTACGTAACTAATCATGGGTATATTACGGGACTGAGCGACTATGGCTTCGACGTAGCACGAGCCCTCTGGTCCAAAGAAGGCTGCAACCCCTTCGCAGATCATATCGATCATTTCCTTCGTGGCTTCCACGGTCTCTCCCCTCGTGTCGCTCCATCGCATCACCAGCTTCACGTCTGGCAATATGTTCGGGTCGCTGTTGATCTGAAACACAGATTTGGGGTAAACTCATTAATTGCTCAAATTTTATTCAGAAATACGCGGCAGGTGCGATTTTAACCCTTTGAGTGCTGGGTTGTGCACTCGGCGATTTTTTCGTTGCAGGAAAATAGTAATTCGAAGACTTCCTGCCATAAAGTCGACGCTATTTTTAAAACGGTAAAGAAGAAATCGTATGCAAATTAAGACGTAAAATTATTTTGCTTCGATATTCCACGCAACGTTCGCTGATTCTAAATTTGATATATTAATTAACATCTATCTTTAGAATCGGATTAAATGGCGACTGAGAGGCGCCTCTCGAGTGCTAAGGGTTAAGATATACCTTTCTTGGGACAGAATAAAGATAATTATAAAATACAAATAGTTATTTCTTTTTACCCATAAATAAATTAAATGGCGACTGAGAGGCGCCTTTCGTGTGCAAAGGGTTAAGATATACCTTCCTTAGGATAGAATAAAAATAATTATAAAATACAAGTAGTTATTTCTTTTTACCCATAGTCCCAATAGTAAATTATTACAAGATTCTTATTTTATAAAACTATATAGCGTTCATAGCTCAGATTGAATGGCTGTGTGAGAACCCATATATGTATTCATAGCCCAGATTGAATGGTTGTGTGAGAACTCATATATGCGTTCATAGCCTAAGTTGAATGGCTGTGTGAAACCCATGCATGCGTTCGCAGTGCTCAAAGGGTTAAATAATTCGCGAACATCGAAAATTTGCAATTTTCATCCAGGGATAAAACGTGTACTCGGAAGATTTCGACAGACAGTGTCCGTTCTCTGGAAGAATCTTCGCTCGTCATTGTTTCGCGTAATCGTTACGCGTTATGCAAGCCGTTACGAGGTCTCCCATCTTTCGTCATACGATATCGAATTACGATAATTGAACGATGTCACGAGATAGCGGTCGCCGATCGTCTGGCTGCGAACCGTGGGTTAGCATACTTATAGCTGACTTAATTGTTTCCAGTAATGCCCCGGTCGGCCGGTTTAATGGAGCTAATTGCGTTACCATAACTCCTGTCATGAATATTCGCTCTGGTTGCAACGATGATGGACGCCGTAACCCCGTAGCCGGCGCATGAATCACGGGATCGGAAGTGGATGACGTAGGATGACCGATCGATGAAATGACTGGCCGGCGCGAGCGGAATAACGCTCCGCGCGTGACACACGAATCTTTCCACTGCTCCGAGCCGGGGAAAAGAGCCTCGTAACGCTCGCGATGTCTCGAACCGAGACGATACGCGCGGGCAATCGATTTTCCTCGGCTGCGGTTGACTTTCGATGGTATTCCCTTTCGCGTCGGCATAAATTTCTGCCCGGCAGGAACGTCGATTAAAGTTCAATTCGTAATGTTACCCGCGCGACGTGTCCCGGTTCTTCGCGGGCATTCCTCCGATACTCTCACGGCGTATCCGGCTCGCGTTTCTGCATCATAGGCGGCGCGTGTGCGCTGGGTTATTATGCAAATCCGAATTCCGACAAACAATACTTTTCCAAGTAGTCGCTGGTAGTTCGCGCTTGCCAGCGCGCGCTGGAATTATAACCGGCGGCGCTGCATCGAAATCTTTCTGTCGATAGATTCTCTCACCGACAGGTGCACGAGGTAATAGAGTCTCATCGGGGACCATTGTCGCGTTACTGTGGCTATTTTCACGGAGGATTCGATCGATAAGGATCGCGAGGGGGTCTGTTTGCTGTCAGGATACTCGATCATTTCAGGAGATACACTGACGAGGATGATTTCGATTATACACCTGTCCGTGAATTTTTATCTTCTCTGCTTTATTGGTGTCGGTACATGGATAGTCAGCTTTATTTTGGTCGATGAAAATTGAAAATAACTTAATAGGATTTCTGCCATACTGGTAGACGGAATTTTAAGAAAATTCGTAGACGTAGAGTATTAAAGGATATCCGTGATCCCCTTCGTACTTCATTGGTACCATTTCGAGGACACTTCGCTTTATTTTCGTCGATGAAAATTAACAACGACTTAATAGTCTTTGTGCCATAATAGTCGACGAAATTTTACTAAAATTCGCAAAAGATACTCGTAACCCCCTTTGTACCTCATTGGTACCACTACGAGGATACTTGGTCCTCCGATGTTTTGCCAAAGAAAAGAGAAGATGCGCGCGTAAACGAAAGCGGAAAAATTCGAAGAAACTCGGCGTTGCAGCGTCAAAGTGGAGCGAAAAAATTCTCCTAGCGCGACGAGTGAAAATGCAGAAAAATTCCACGCACGCACGATTAATTAGGGGAAATCCGTAGCTTCTGGCGAGAGTGTAACGATCGCGGCAGTTCTCCGACACTTGCAGATCGGGACGAGAGGAGTACCGGGAGTCGATGGCTTAATTATACTCGCGCATCTCGCGGCATTGTTCTCGGAACGAGCCACGAACGCGATGCGATCAATTACGGAGGCGCACGCACTGGCAGAGGCCGGGTTACGCAACGCGGTGAAGCGGGTTGCCGATAAAAATCGGAAAATCGGTTCGAAAGCCGGGAATTTTTGCATGGCTTCGAGCCGAGGAACCGTTAAAGCGGTTCCGAGGCGGCGCTATAAAAAATCATTGCTCTTCCCGTTCGATGGCTCGCATTCCTGGCTTTGCACCTGCCCGAACGACCGCCGAATTCGTCCGCTGGAATGCGTACAATAACGCGCGTCCGCTTTTCCTTTCTCTCTCTCTTCCTCCCTCTCTCTGTCTCCTTTCTTCTCGAGCTTCTTTAACGACCGCGGGTGAAAGTTGAAACTCGTCCTCGTAATCGCAGCCGTGCCGAGCCGGTGAATCGCGCCTTTTTCGCGATCGCTTTCCATCCGTTGCGTTGCGTTACGAACAAGCGTAAACAAACAAGCGGATACGCGCGAACAACCGAGAGGAAAACGGAAATCGTTAAGCCGGAGATCATTTTCGCGTACGTACAACTCAGACTCGCAAAGAACGATCGCTCGACTCGCGCGCCGGTTTTAAGGATGTTGGGAAACACGCGTCCTCGAGTGCACCGTTTGGAAAGTTGCAGAAAAACCGACGCGTCGTGGTATTTGCGCGCGGTAAGAGTCCAGGTAATTACGAGAGTGGCCTAAGTCGAAAATTTTAACGGGATGACCGCATCTCGGTAACACGAAGATCGGGGTAGAAAGAATTACCAATCGTGCCATTGCATCACAGATATCCTCCAGAGTGCGAGAGCTCCATTCGTAATTGCTAATTAACGATCGACAGTGGTTGCGTCTTATCAAAAGGGTGAACCCGTACAGGAGGTTTCATTATCGGTGAAACTGCCTCGGTGATTCATTTGTCCCCCATTAAGGGCACGAAATTCGTAATATTTCGGAATCGAGCGTATTACGATCAAGCGCACGCGATTTATCGTTACATCAGCTTCGTAATCGCTCTCGAGATTATATCTTGAGCGACGTTAAATCCGATCGCTTGAGAGATCGATCGAGATCGACGAAACGCACGGCTAAAAATGGAGGGAGAAAATAGATATCCATCGATCGATTATGTATAAGCATATTAAATCGAGCAATCTAGCGACGAAATCGATGACGTTGAGAGTGGAATTTTTAATCGAAAATGTTAACACTTTGCAGGTGGGCACGGTTTTCCAAGTTTTTAAACGTGTATCGGGCAAATCCAGCTTCTTCGCGTGCTAGTCGATTTGATAATTTACGAAATCGCGCGAATCCATTTTCAAAATGGGTAAAGTGCGATAAAATAAAACGCGAGTCGAAACTGATAAAATTGAAAAATAGGATAAAGTAAAGCGCAAGTTCCTTCAGAGTCACAGAATGCAGTTCATTGCAGTCTATCACGCAACTGAGATTACAGTCTCCCGCTTTCAACGTTTGTTCTTTTTCGGACTGTGATCACAGTCTCCCGCCTGCAATGTGTCAAGATGGTAACTACAAATCGCTATTTGCGTGTTGGAAGTTGTTGGAGAGTTTTAATCTCTCGATCCATGTTGCTAGACGCTTCTAGCGATATCTGGCATATTTTTGGCTATTCGAATAAGGAGCTAACGGAGGTAAGGAAGTCACTTCCTTCCAAGCTACTGCTAAGAAAGTACGTGTAGTTATTCTGATTCTGAGACATTATCCCAGGAAACCATAACCCTAACTACTGTATTCGACAACAGAAGCTTGTGTGCCTAGACATAGGTATGACATCTAGTGGATGGTTGGCACTTTGAGTGTCTTTTGTTCTTTTTTCCTGACTCTAACATAATCCTAGAGACCAGAGACCAGTTATCAGGGAACCATTGCACCGCTAACACGTGCTTTGTAATAAAGAATTACAAAAGTAATACCACTACGCGTGATTTATTAACTCTTTGCACTCGACGATTTTCTGGCTAGAGAAGAGTAGAAATTTAAAGATTCTCTACTAAAAAACTGACGATACTTTTTTGAGCAGCAAATAAAGAATTGTAGAATTATTTGATTTCGATACCTCGCACACTGTTACATTACGTTAAATTTGATGTATTAATTAATTTCGATCTTCCAAATTTTATGAAATACTAACTGAAGCTCACCTCTCGAGTGCAAAGGGTTAAATGAGCTGTTCGCTGCACAACTCGATTAACTCCTTACTTTTTGAGAAATCTTAAATTTAAGTGTCACAGCACTTGGTATAGTCCTAACTTTGTATATATTTAAGATTTTCAAAAACTAGAGTTAATCGATTTATGCAGTGAACGGCTCGAATCAAAGAACTCTAACAGGAGATCAGAAACACGATCGTCTTGGCCTTATAAGAATATATATTCGTATAATCGTTAACGCGAATGTTTGAAATTATTTAGACTTATTCAGAGTTATTCGGAGAAATGATTCAAGGTTTCATAGTGGAGTTATGATTGGCGAAAAGGAGAAAAACCGGCAGACACGGAGAGTCCGGATCTATTCGGACCAGGCCGAGTTCTCTCGTTCCGTCCGAGCGTGAAACAATGTTCACAGACAGTGTCCACTTGCGCTGTTGCCACTGGCAGGGTTTCACCAATCAGCTTATTTTCGAGTAATTGAAGGGCGTCCGGTCGTGGAAGGCTGTGCATGACCGAATGCCAACCTTCAGGGTCGATGAGAACGACTTTGCCATGATTCGTTGCGTCCACAGCATTAAGGAGGCGAAGACGAGGAGAAAAGAAACGGAAGACTCGATCTGCGCTGCCTAATGACGATATCGCGAGCAGTTGCAACTGCACGCTCGTTAATTCGCTTAGTCGTAAGCCTCCGAGCCGGAGGATCGCGTCGGATCGTCTCGGACGATCGATGACGACGAAGTGGAAATCTCCGGGAATTGTTTTCACGCTTCGGACCGTGTAATTCCGATTTTGGCGCGAACCGGAGACCGGGGACGGTGAGAAAAACGGAGGATTTGGACGGTGGTCGGTGAAATCGTTTCGAATGATTCACGAGCGCGCGGCAGCTGCCACGAGCGATCGCCTCGATCGCGAAAAACCTCGCCGATAATCGAACCGCGCGCGAGACCACGCGAATTCTTTCCTCCAACTGCTCCCGTTCCCTATTTACGGATATCGCGCGTTCGCGAAACTAGTTTACGTCGTGGGAGTGCGTCATAGCGAATTCCAGTATTTTTTCTCCTTTTTTTCTTTTTTCCCAGCCTTTATTTCTCTCGCGCGGCGTGTATCGCCGGCAGCGAGGTAAAATGCACCTGCGCACACCATTGAAGCGAGCCGACAGGTAAAACGTTAAGCTCGATTCACGCGCCACGGACTTTCCTTTTTCGAGGCGAACGACGAAAACGGTTGCTTTAATCCGAGGCCGAGATCGAGATGGAGATCGAGATCGAGATGAAAAGACACTTCCGCCATCTTGGATAATCGCAATTCGGGAAAGTACCGTAATTTTTCGTTCAAGCAAACCGAAAATGTATCGAAGTTAGGTTAGGTTAACAATTTTTACGCACGAAACGCAATCCTTTGGACCGTAGAGGTTTCCTGGCATCGATATAAATAAAAGAAGAATAATTTTTCGACTTTGTTACCAAATTTTTACCAAACTCCATTAGATAGGTAAAGGGTTCATCCTGTATGTAGATGGAAGAAATAGAATAAACGAAAGATTAATCGCGAAGAGACGGGACGCGGCGATACTCGAAGGCTCTCGAAGTATCTGGAAATTTTGGAAATAGTCGCGATTATCGCGCCACGTATCGCGAGGTTACTCGAACGCCTCGATATTCCGGCGAGCATCGCGGCCGAGTTTGACCCGCGGCAGGCGATCTCGCCGATTCGGAATATATTAGAATCGAGCACGGTCGCGTCGCGGCGGCCGATCGTGGAAAAACTTTCACCGCGGCGCGGCTAAAAATACAGCGCGGGTTATTTCCTCGTTACGAGGCTGCCGCTGGAAGCCGATGCGAGGTAAAAATGTCGGCGGCGCGGCGCGGAAATAGCCGCGGCGTCGCGCAGATCGTGGCCGATCGCGGCGATTTTTCGCGCGGCGACGCTCAAAAATACATGGCGACCGGCACAGCGATCAGGCGTGATCGGGGCTTAAGGCCCGCGGCGACGGAACGGCCGACATTGCGATCGCGATGCTTACTCTTGCGTGGCGTATCGGAGTACATAAATAAACGGGCGCAAGGCTGGTTTCCTGCACCTTTCGACGTTACGCGTTTCGCGACGGCGACCTGCGCGCTCGCCGCGCTCCAGCCGCGCCGAATTTTCGCACGCGGAAGCGTAGCCGGCGCGAGGAGACCGCGCGGAGATGGGGTCCGGGGGTGGTGGGAGAGACGGCGCGAGAAATAAGAAGCCGAGAAGCTTCTCGATCGGAGTTCGGTTCCTGGCGATTGCCACGGTGAGATACCAGTATCCCCGAATAATTATCAGCGTAACCGCAATCCATCTTTGACGTAACTTGTTATTTCCAAGTAGAACCGGATACGTGGGCCGCGATACGATCGGCCGGTTATTTCGACGATTCCCAGAGGTTTCTCAGCCCCGAGCTGCCCGGTCCGGCCCTTTCCCTTCTACGCGCGCGCGCGCGCGCGCTCGCTCACGGTTGCAGGTTGCAAAAGAGCGCGCTCGCGCGAGTCGCTACGGGAGGAAAGGGGGGAAGGAGGAGGAGGAGGAGGAAGGAAGAGGCGAAAGACGAGAAAGACGAGAAAGCGGAGAAAGAAGAGAAAGAAAAAAGGGAGGTGGACGTAAAGAGGGTTAGGGGGGAGGGAGGGAGGAGGTTTCTCGATCGCGAGCGAATTCTTCTCACGGTTGCGAGAGCGCAGTTTCGTCGGCGGACGCGTGGGCGGACCGGCGAATAATGCCGGTCTTGTATTTTTAAACCCTCGCACGAATCGGCATCTCCGGGGAGAGATGCCGGGTCACTCGGCGCGTTGCAGCTCCCGCTGCAGCCGGAGCACCTTTCTCTTTTTCTTTTCTTATTCGGAGAGCCGCGGAGAGGAGGCTCGCCGTGCGGCTCCGACCGGCGAAAACGATCTCACGGTCCTTCGTGAGGCCCGCGTGCGCGCGCGAGCGCCTCCGCGACCGCGCACGCCGATCCTCTCCAATGAATTATCGAGCCTTCCAGACCGTGGAACGCCGCGCGCTGCCGCTGACCGCCCGCAGGAAAAAACCCGAGACAGGGCCCCGCGATATTGCCCGACCTTACTTTTCGGCCGGACCAGGATTCGCCGAGGCCAACGTGGGAACTCTCGGCCGGCTACCGTAATTAGGACCCACCACCCGGACCCCGTCCGACCCGGCCCATTTCCACGTGCACCGTGACACGCGAGAACACGTGGAAACTAACGAGCCGCGCTCCGGGTAAACCGTCTTCCAACCGATCCCGGCTTTACGGAAACGAGCTTTTGCTCCGTTCATCCTTCGCGCGTTACCCTAAACTCGCTTCGTTATCTCCATCGCGCTTTTCCAGGTTTTCCAGGGTTACGTTCCTCTTTTATGCGTTTATACGATATGAACATAGCGATGGGCAGAGATTCCCTTTTATTTTATTCGAAACGGTAACTTAGAAGGGCTAACGAAAGGAGACTCACCTCATCGAGGGCCATAGAAAAGGCACCCGAGATGGCGAGGCCCTGGCGATCCTTGAGGCCACCCTTGATAGCCGTGAGGTAGCCGATGGTGAGGTTCTGCTGTTTCCTGGGTTGAATGGTTCCGGTGAACGTCGCTTTGGGGTAGATTTGCCTGGAGAGTGCCTGCTGCCACTCGGCCCCGGGCAACCCTGGCGGCTCGGCCAGGCCCAGGACCAGAGGGCTGCTGGCCAGCAGCAGCAACACCAGCAGGGCCCGTGAGCTGTTCCCGTACGAACGTGGCCGCAACGGTTGCGGCTGGTCTAGCCGGTGCCGTCGATTGCGTTCCTGAGGGACTTCCTGGCGACGGGGAGGCCTGCGGCGGCTCGGCTGTACTGGCGGGCCGGGGCGCATGGCCGCCGCCGCCACCGGTCAGCACCGCCTCCCTCCCGCTCACCTGCAATCCAATTTTCATTTATTCCACTTATTTCCACCTTTATTTCCTCCTCGCTCTTCTCATCGACGAGTTCTCGTTACGAGAAAGAAGGAAAGGTAACAGAAAGGACGCGTTTCGTTCTGGGCCTGAGTGGACTGGGTCCCGAGTTAATTTTTCGGGAAGGTCTCAGTCGTAAGGATATCAACGGTAGATCGGGAAGTATGTACGTGTAAAAAAGATCCCCATAATTTCTCTATCTACTCCTTATTATCATACAAATTATCGTCCTCGAAGTTAACTCGCATAGGACTGACATCCAGTTCTCAGACCCTATCCGTTTATAAGACCACTTCATGCTCTCGATCCGCTTTGTTAAAGAACGCGCGTTAGTGGAATCACGTGTGCATTGATAACGATTGTCATAAAACATGTGTATATAACTTATCGCTAACGGATGTGGCTTTTCTGTTCGGTCTTAGTTCTAGGATTAGGCTAACTCTAGGAAGGTCTTAGAAAACTAGCGATTCTAGAAGAGAGGAAATCCACGCGAATATTTCCAGATATTTCAGAACAAGAGTCCATAGGAATTCCTAACCTGTATCGTACACGGATTCCAACGCTATTTAATCGACGAATTCTCCGATACAGTACTGTCAAACTCACACATTTGAACATGGGGTACGAGGCGTAGTTTTAGAACGCGTACCGCAGATGAAAGGATCTCTAAAGCTTCTCGAAGATTAGAATCTAATCGTCGTTTTGGTAAAATCAATTTCAAAGCCTCGGTCTGCGTGCCACGTGTACAATAGCATCGCTCTGTGACAGAATCGGCTTATTCTTCGGATCAGGTGATAGACGCGGAACTACCGCTGGATCGATTGTTCCTACCAGACTTATGTAAAAGTCGTCCGACGACGATGTATTTCTGTCACGTACCGATGTCCGTAATTTTCTACTTATGTAATACCGGGCTCGTGTCCGCCTCGTTAATAGGTAAATAAGCAGATATCGACGTTCGCAGTGTCCGAAAGATGCAGCGTGGGGTGAGATCGCAAAGATGGCGGCCACGGTGTTTTCGCGTTTTCCGAATTTCTAACGGGACAAAGAGGATCTAATTTTAGACCCTGTCGCATTACGTCGGTTTTCGCGAGTGTAATACCGTTGCGTTGGCACGCCAACGTGGAATCGTAACGAGCAGCTCCTACGCGGAACGCGCGTATTTTTTCGCGCAAACGAGATTAGAAATTTATACGGGTCGAAAAAATCGATAATTTATCTAGTTCTACTCGCCACACGAAGTGTCAAGTTCCGTACCACCGATTGTGGAGCACGACGATACTCCAGCCGTAGACTATCTCTGTCATCTGACTGCTCGATGAAGAGATAAAGATGACAGCCTGGCGGTATTTTTAGCCACTTATCTCGCGAGTATTTCGAAAAATTCGACTAAGCCACGCAATTAGATACAAGTGCTCGTCTTAGAAGTGTCATTTTAACGCTATCTTCCTGACTGAACTGGCACTTATCGTCATCGGTCGCCACTTATTCCACTGAGTCATTGCGTGTGCCATCTGCGCGAGGCTAATAATAACCGATATACCCAAAACGATGGAAACGTTGCTCGATTGCAAAGCTCGCGCCTTCCCGTCCACTCCCATTCTCACCGTTCTTCCTGCACCGTAAAATCTTAAAATCCATCGCGGCAATTAATCATCCTCCGCCGCACTGTTTGCCACGGCTGTAATCGCCGCGCAACCTTGCTCCTAGATTCCAGGTTAAAAATGACTCACGCGACCGATGCATCGAGGAATCCGTTGCGCATTAAGCTATTATCTCAGCTATCGGATATCGACGATCTCCTGGAAATCTTGCGTCAGAAACGCGCAGGACTGCGACTAAATCGCGGCAATTTGCGAGCATCCACCAACGATTCCGCTCTATCGCTACACGCATCGATCCACCTACTTCGTCGCGGAGCACGCGTCAGCGGAGAAGATCTCCGAGCACGCGGAATCGAGCTGACAATTGTTTCACGGAAATATCTCGAGGAAGACGCTCTCCAAGGCCATCTAATCGAGCGTATCTATCAGGCCTAGTTCCCCGGTGTCCTACTATCGCGAGACATATCAGGTGCCACCCGCGCAAGTCTCCAGCTTTTCGAGGAAAATTTCGGAGGAAATTTCTACGCGAGATCACCGACCTACCGATTCGCGAGACGATCGATTCCATCCGATTCGACGCGATTAGGACGCGGAATGCAAGTACTAAGAAACGTAGAAAGTCTAATGCGTCGTTAACGACCATAGTAAAATACCTGAAGTCGTTGGCGAAGGTTGGGTGACAGCGACACGAGGTTGGCGATTTCGCAAGGCGATCAATCGCCGTTGAAAAATAACGCAGTCGTCGCACGGCGCGGAACGATTCCGCGTCGGAGCGGGCGAGAACCGCGGCGGCGGCGTCGGCGATGGCGGCGGGGAAAAACACGTGGCCGGGCATCGAGAGGGACACACCTGTTGCAATTACGTAACGAGCCACGGGCTCCGTAGGCGAGAGTGCCGGCTGCAGCCTACAACGAAGCCCCGTGCGACAACAATAAAGACGTCTTCCCCTTTCGTGATGCACGGTGTCATTCACCAAGCGGACCGTGTAACTTTCGACTCGTTCCACGTTTCTAACTCGGATTTAATTATGGCCGCCGGTGAAAGTCAACGGCGTGGATTTATTTGACGGCCGGTAAAGCCACGCGTGAAAAGGGACGCCTTCGCGGCCGTCGTCGGCCACCTTGACGAACGCAGGTGACGAACTCGCGGACACCGAGTCAGAGACGCGCGGGCCTCGACCAACGCGGTTCAACGATCCAGCCTCCGAATGCCTCTGGAAATTTTCGACCTCGTCGAATAATCGCGTACACGCATCTCCGAAAGGATACTCTGCTGTGCCGGTGTCCCAAGCTCTCCGCGTATCTTCTGCTCGCGAGCCATTCGCCACGCGCTTTCTCCGCCGATCGGCCATTTTTATCCCGGCTAATGGGAAAAGAGCGCGGATAGGATAGGATCGTGACCCCGTCGAGGACTTTTTCGATTAACGATACGGATACGGGCGTAGCAAAGACGGATGCCTAGGCGCTGCCAACTACGCTCTCCGCGGACAGTTTTCACGATCGACGCGTCAGCGCGGTGCTATTTATTTTCAGGTGTTGTTGGGGCAGCTGGTTAGCGCGTTTAACGCCTGCCAGCGGGATTCACGGTAACGCGCCTTCCACCGACGCGAAATTTTCCAAATTTCCTTGCGCTAATCGCCGATGAAGCTTCGTTAAGCGTTAATAATTCGATTTGCTCCACCTCGAGCCGAGACGAGGAAGAAAATGGCGCGCGAGGGGGATATAAATCGCGTATCAAACTCGCTAATCGGGCAAGCGTGGCTTTGCGAAAGGTGTCACGCGTTTGACAGCGCGGAGATGGCGATTCTGGAAGCGGGATGTTCGCGTCGTGAAGAAACTACGACCCACCTAACCGTTTAATCGCTTCGATACGCTCGAACCGTCCCGACCAGCTCCTCGGCAAACTGTTCGAACGTCTTCCTAAGCCGATTTCCCCGTTAAACGAGGAAATTATGAAAGACTAGACGGAACTGGGCTGAAAGTAGACCAAAAAGTGCTCGTCACGCGAGCGGCCACGACCGTTCCAGCCGAATTTATTTTCACCTCGAGACCGTTACGTTCCCGTGGACGACCGAGAAAGCAAATAGGATCTTTTTAACGCGGAACTGATACGTAAAGTAAATTCGGCCCGATAAAGCTCCAAGAATAGCGGCGAACCGCATACGATATTTGTCAACCACGTCGCCCCTGGCTACGATAACTCGACGCTTCTTTCTCGAATTTTTGTCACACTCGAAATCGAAATCGAAATTCACGCCGATTTTATCGCGCCGATATTAACGCTAGAATTACCCAATCTCCAGTGCTTATCTAAATACACCGTGTATAATTAACCTTCGTAATACCCGAGGGGCAACAGACGTAGTCGCTGCGGATACAAGATCGCTGCGTAATTGGCAGTTCTAGCGTCAAGATTGTCCGTATTAATTAGCCTGTAATTAGTAGAATTAAAAAATTTAGTACTCCCGTGAGTTTTTTCCTAAAAACTCGGCATACGCAGGCACGAGTCCAGGCAATTACCGCGATCCGATCGAGGGGAACTAGTCGTCGTCTGCTAGCCGACATCCTCGCAGACACAGCGGGCAAAACCGAGGTGGATCCATTCTATTTCCATCGTGACACTTCTCGATGTCGCGTCTCGTTAATGGAATCTCGGAATCCGCCGGACTGGTCCTCTTTCTAGCGCGTTTCCACTACCTTTTTCGCAAAGTTGATCGCGCTGGAGCGATGGCGACCGGCCGGAATCGAGGCAGGAAGTCGAATCGAGCCGCGGTCGCTGGTACGCGTCAGGCATGCGTTTACGCAACCCAGGGTCAACACTCGCGGTGCATATCGTTTAGATAAACAGTGATAACTCTCCTCTCCGTGTTGCAGCTCGCTCCTCTGGCCTACGCGCTATTGATCTTTCACCGTCGCCTAATCGCGTCCGCGTTTACCAGGTCGCGTAGATCGATCACCTGGCCAGGGTGCGGGGAAACAAATTCCACGATAATTCCGCGAGTCAACGAAATTTAATTTCGGAAACACCGGGTCTAGGTATCCCATCGTTTATACGGACATAGCTTTGACTCTATACCGTTATGTACCAACCTTCCAAACTAGGGAACTCTAATTCGCGAGACGTTAACGCTCGATGCGATCTCTGATCCCTGAATCATACGCTGGAATTTTATAATCGATCGAAGTTTGTAAAATTCTCAGGGATACTTAATTTTTCCGTGAATATCGTATCGAGAAAATTTGTTTCGAGTGCAGAGAATTGGTCACGAGGTCGAAGGAGCAATGACCAAGTTTTGATCATACGTTGGTCATCCATTGTTTGGATTATAGCAGATCTAGCGCGTATCGGAGTAAACGTCAG